CACGGCGCTTCGCGCTTGGTGATGTGAGAGCCTAGTCCGGTGAGAACCCGGCGTGCTCCGTCCCGGCTTTGTAGGGATGCGAGGTCAATGGTCTAACGACTACGGCATGCACGACTATGAGTACCCCCCCCCCCCCCCCCCCCCCTCTCTCTCTCTCTCTCTCTCTCTCTCTCTCTCTCTCTCTCTCCCTCCAATCTGCTGCCCATCCTCTTGTGTGAAGTGCCTGCTCATGCACCCACGCGCCTTCTTCCCTTCCCCCCATGTGATGCCAGGCCGATGTCGCCGTCCATTGACCACTGGCTATTCAGTATAACTTTCGAACGCAATCTGATGCCTATAATTACTGCGCTCTTCAGAACGTCTACAACAGTCTCCCATCCCAACGCGTCCGTGTGTGTCTTGGTAGCATGATCATGTACCCCCCCTCCACTTCCCACGCACGTGCGTGGAAAAAGAATAGCCGAAACGCCGAGTATCCTTCTTCATCCCACTACAAGCCTTCCATTGTCTGAACTCCTCACCTCCACACTGCAGCAGAATGTACTTTCCGAAAGGCATACATACAGCGTATGACATTCATGTGACGTAACGTCGAGACCAATTGTGTGAGCACATCACAAAACCGCAATGCTACTGTGGAGTTTACCACCCACCACAACCGTGTCAGAGCACGGGGCTGTTTCGCTCGCCGCGTTCCAGCTGCTGAAGGACTCCTCTCAACTGACACGCGTGAGGACCCTTCACACGCGACACTACAACCGGTTAGAAGACCAAAGGTCTACTTGTAGGCGAACCCCGACAACCACGCCTTGCACGCGATGCAAGCGTAAAGGCCTCCGGCGAACGAAAAAAACGCAATGCTCGGAATGAAACAATTACTTGTTGTGTTGTCCACTCGCACGTAGACAAGAACTTTTGACTCCACGGTGGGACGACGTTGTGCCTACTCCCGGTCGCTGCACTTCGTTCCAACAACCTTCCCCAAGGGCTGGCCAAGAAGGCATTCTCGTGCTCTTGTCGCCTGTCTTCGCCCACTAACGCCATGCTTCCGCTGGCCGTGGAGCAAACAGAACTCAACACTATCTGCGTCTCTATATAGTGAGGTAGGGTCACTTCGTGCTCCCTCTGTGTCTTGTCTCTACTCTTCTTTCAGACTCGTGGTGACAAACAGTGCTTGTCGAACGATAAAAAGACAAAAGTGAACTGGTCCCCCTAAAGACAAAACCACATGAGAGCGCTTGCAGGGCCCGACGAAAGGTCCTCGCCGCCGATCTAGCGCCTCACAGGTCCCTGCCATCTACCGAGGTTGGGCCGTCATCGTCTTCCTCCTCCCCACCGGCCGTCCTCTTGCGGACCATCATCGTGACCAGGACCAGGGAGGCGAGAATCGCACCGACGACGAGCCCGCCGAAAAGAAGCAGGATCTCCTCCTCTCTGGAGATGCCGTCGCCGCTGCTGCCGTCTCCGGAGTCATCGCCGGCCCCGGCGTCGATCCCGGCAATGTTCGCTCGACGAGTGGGTGACGGCGTCGGGGGGTCCGCGAAGGAGGGCGTGGGAGTAGGCCTTGGTGGCGAAGCTGACGTCGTCGGGGGGGCCGTGGCAGCGGAAGGGGGCACTGTTGGTGGTGGGAGACCTGGCGTTGTAGGGGGAACCGTGGCGTCGGAAGGGGGAAAAGTCGGCGGGCCTGTAGGTGCCGGGGTATCTGGCGATGTCGGTGTCGGCGTCAAGGCAGGGGACGGGGGCACGGGAGCCGGAGAGGGTGGTGTAGTGGGTGCCGTTGTCGGAGGTGCTGTGGCTGGAGAGGGGGTGGGGGCCGGCGCGACGGGCGACGGTGTGGGTGACCTTGTCGTGGGAGAAGGCGTCAGAACGGGAGCAGATGTCGGGGGGAACGTCAGACGAACCGGCGCCGCTGTCGGTACTGGAGTAGCAGGAGCCGTCGTTGGTGCCGGTGCCGCAGTGGATGCAGGGGTCGAAGGAACTGCGGTTGGCGCTGGAGTAACGGGCGATGTAGTGGGTGCTGGGGTGGCAGGAGCTGCGGTTGGCGCCGGAGTACTGGGTGCTGGGGTCCAAGGGGCTGCAGTGGGTGTTCGGGTAGACGGGGCCGCGGTGGGTGGCGGGGTAGAAGGCGCTGAAGTTGGTGCTAGGGTCGAAGGAGCTGCGGTTGGCGCCGGAGTACTGGGTGCTGGGGTCCAAGGGGCTGCAGTGGGTGTTCGGGTAGACGGGGCCGCGGTGGGTGGCGGGGTAGAAGGCGCTGAAGTTGGTGCTAGGGTCGAAGGAGCTGCGGTTGGCGCTGGAGTAACAGGCGAGGTGGTGGGTGCTGGAGTGGCAGGAGCTGCGGTTGGCGCCGGAGTACTGGGTGCTGGGGTCAAAGGGGCTGCAGTGGGTGTTCGGGTAGACGGGGCCGCGGTGGGTGGCGGGGTAGAAGGCGCTGAAGTTGGTGCTAGGGTTGAAGGAGCTGCGGTTGGCGCTGGAGTAACGGGTGATGTAGTGGGTGATGGGGTAGACGGGGCCGCGGTGGGTGGCGGGGAAGAAGGCGATAAAGTTGGTGCTGGGGTAGAAGGGGCTGCGGTTGGCGCTGGAGTAATGGGTGTTGCAGTTGGTGCTAGGGTAGAGGGGGGTGCAGTGGGTGCAAGGGTAGAGGGGGATGCAGTGGGTGCTGGGGAAGGAGCTGTGGTTGGCGCTGGTGTAACAGGCACTGCAGTGGGTGCCAGGGTAGTAGGGGTGGCGGTTGGTGTTGGAGTGAAAGGTGCTGCAGTGGGTGCCGGGGTAAAGGGAGCCACTGTTGGCGCTGCGTTTGGCCGGCGGTGTGAAGGGAGCGAACGACGTCGGAAGAGGAAAAGGGTAAGTTGTGTGGTGCAAGAAAAACAGTTGCTGCGCTCGTTGTAGAGGGGCCTCACAAGAAAATGGCGTTGGTAGAAGTGTCCTCAAACGCCCTACAGCTTAGCTGCTTCTGCCGCGGAGCTCGCAGCAGGGTTCAGACTCCATAACAACGCAGCGCAAGCCAACTTTGGCCATGTAGGTGGCGATACCTTAGAGAAAAACAATATTAGTGCTCTGCCTACCGTGCTGTTTCTACCACTACGCTTCCGCCGCCGCTGTTGGTTGGCAGAACACCACGTGAGAAACGACAACAAATTCTCCTCTTCCAATACCACTGCACGGCCGTCGCCGCTGTAGCGACTGCGGCTGCTGCCACCACGTCAAGGGTCCCAGTGAACGTAGGAACTACAATTCACCTGGGGTTGCATCCACGGGAGCTGTTGTCGGTGCCGTGGTTGGGGAAGGAGTCGGCGCAAGAGACGGCGCCGGAGACGGGACAGGCGTCGGAGCGGCGGTCGGCACCGGGGTCGGCGGCAGCGTCGGCCGTTCCCTGCGGTAGACCATCCCGAAAAACGTGTCCCCGTCGTGACCCCCCATGTAGAGGTCCCCCTCGGTCGTGTCGGGCACCATGACGCTAGACAACAGACGCGACGTCCTGTAGTTGAGCGACTGGTAGGAAACCAGGGTTTCTCCGTCGGAGGCGTCGAGGGACATGGACACGAAGACAAACCTGAGCAACCTCGGTTTAGTGTCAGGGTCGTCTTCTCCCGCTGATCCGTCCGTGTCGAAACCTTTTAAAGTAATTGCAGCGGGTGTATTGCTACAGGGCATGTCCCGTGGAAACACCGATAGGTATATGAGAGTGCGAGGTGTCCTTCATGGCATGCAGGATTCCCCCCTCTATTCTTCCCGCCCCCCCCTGCCCGCAACAGCGTGTGAATGTCTCGGTTGTGAGATGGCGGGTATCAAACGGCCTTTGATCAGAGAAACGCCGAGTTGCTTCCTCCTCGCGCGCGCGAATCATCCCCGACTTCGCCAAGAAGCGGGCCAACTACAGTATGCCAGCCCGCCCCCCTTCAAAACCCAAACACGATCCCCATCCATCACCTGTCCCTCGGGTGGCTCCGCCTACGTGAAGCACGCCGTTTCTGTCGAAGGTGATGGTGAAGGCGAAGTCCTCGCGATCCACGAGCGGGCCCGAGGTATAGGTCTTGAGCCAGATGGTTTCCTGGGTCGATGGGTCGAAAGCCAAGACGACCATGTCCTGCAGCTTGACCTCCGGCGCGGGGTCCGCGTCAAGGGCGTAGGAGAAGTCCCCCCGGGTGTAGCCGCAGGCGTAGAGCACGCCGTTCTCTTCGTCGAAAGCGATGTCGGTCAGGACGTCGCTGTAGATGGTGCCGTGCGTCCAGGTCCATACGACCTTTATCATCCCAGTCGTTAGTTATGGCACGGCGCGTTTTAGCTGGTGGTAGGAGTACGAAGAGAGTCGTGTTTGATCTTGGAAGTACTTTCTCTACTCTCTTGGCAGGTATGTGTTTCATTTTGGTTGATGACCTTTAGTACGACCCTCCCCCATGATGTTCGTCGTGCTGACTCCGGCATCATGTTCTTGTCAAAGAGTGAAAAGAAGCCCCCGCGTTGTTTGTCTGGTCGCTGAATTGACCCCAATGAAGCCTGTGCCTACTGCAATCTTCATCTGTCCATCACCAAGTATCGACAACCGCGCGAACGTAGACGTCATACCTGTCCCGTAGCGATCTCGAAGGCCGCTATGTAAAGGTCTGGCTCCTCGTCCGGTTCAGACATGCTCCCTGCCATGAAAACCATGCCACCGGCAGGGTCCAACGCTACCCCTAGAGCTTCTCCTGAGGAATCGTCGTCGTCGGCGTCCAGCTTTTCCCGCAGCAGCAACGAAGTCCCGACAGCAGCAGTAGAAACAGGGGAGGATGGGATTATGTTTACGTTCCATACTCAGAACAACAACGAGCAGTGATGTAGTGATGCCGGCCGGCAATGACGACGACAAGACCATCTGCTGAAGAATCCACAAACGTGGAAAGATGAAAACCGCAAAATAAGCGTAAGAACACACTAACAAAACAAGAAGGGAGAAATTCAAACACACAAATACGTGTCGCGCGTGTGCTACAGGTGCTGTAGTCTAGTGTACATACCATCATGCTATGTTCAAAATTTAGCCAGGCAAGGCGAACGCGAAACAACCGCAAAAGGGTAGTCTGTAGTCTACTACAAGAACAGAGAGAAGTGGACGGACCTTTGGTGTCGCTTACCGATTGACTCCACACAAGTTCACCGGTTGCTGCATTTAGTGCGGTGCCCATGAACACGGTATTGAAGTTGGAGTAGTCGGCCGGGCAGCTGTTTCCTAGGCATCTGACAAGTACAACAAAAAAAACATGGCATGAAGCACATTTAGGCAGCGGAATGATGCCATTAATTGGTGCTGATGGAAATAGAACTACGCTTTGCGAGCACGAATCAAGATGATTGTACGTGTCATGTTGAGTTTCGCGACACTGCTTGACAAGACTATGCTCGCTAGGAGCACGATTAGTATGGTTCGCAGCCAGCAGCAGCAATAGCAGAATGGTTCGCAACCAATCGTCCTCATCACGAACCACGAAAGGACGGCAATCGCATCGGTGAGACTGGCCCGGCCGGAAGACAGTACAGTACTGCAAAGCCGTCGGTAGTCTTGAAAGTCGCCGGCCAAACCCCCTGAATATCCCGCTAACCACCCAGACTGTACACCGTTCGTCTCGCAATCCAACGACCACAGCTCCAGAACATGCAGAAGCTGTTGGTCCATATATTACTGTTGGCGCAGAGGAAGGTCGGGGAAACGACCGACACCCCCCCCAAGCCAAAACAGTGCACAACAAATAATCCAACTCCAGGCTCGCGTGTTTGCACACACACCCGGCGGATTGTCCAGCCAGGAGCAGCAGCTCAGATATCGCATCGTACTCGACCGCGTTGAACTGGCTAGCGACGTAGGTTTGGTAGACCCCACCCTGAGCGGAGTTGGATTTTAAATGCGCAACACAGAGGGAACGAAGGGGGACAACTGTTCTTCTTGTCTTCAACGGAGGGCGAAAAGTTACACCGTTGCGGATGTTAGAAGGCACGTACAGTAGCAGGGGCTGGAACGGCTACGATAGTCTAATGACATAACAACAACAACAGCATATGCACGCACCTCCGACGGGATCTTGGATTGATCTTGGTAGTCCCACACATTCTCGCCACTTGCTTCGTCGAGAGCACGTGCGTTGAACCAAAGCTCTGAGCTCTCCTCGATGTCGCCGTTGTAGATCTGCCCTACTGCGAAGACTACACCGTTCGCTCCGTCAGTCGCGACGTCTTCGCACAAGCAAGCGCGGGAAAGGGGCGGTGCTTCACTTCTTGCCCTCCAAAAGAGCGTTCAGTATTTTATGCGATATTGTAGGCTATTGTTCAGGAACCAAGACAAAGGTTGGGCCAAATGTACTACGTGGTATGCATAGGATGTAGGCTAGTGGCGAGCCAAAACTGAAGTCGCGGGAAAGCTATCTACTCCTCGAAGAATTGGTAAGATTTCAAACGAAAAATTGGGTTGTAACCGCAAAGAAACAAGCGGCCACAAGATTGTGTTGGTTCAGTATTACCATCTTCCCTACAACGTGTTGTACCAAACGAGGGACGTCCAAAAATTTCATAGGCAATGAAATTCCTTACTGGAAACAGCGTACGTCCATTTTCATTCAAATCGATAAGGACGAGAATTTTCGTTTGATCCCGACGGATCTGCTGCAGAAAACGGGGTGTGATTCGTCCACGTGCTTCTCGAAATACACCAAAAGCGAAATGGAGCAAAAGTTTTCCCACATAGACTATATTAATTAATATTGCACATCTGTACCGTAGTTATGTACGTTCTGCAATGAACGACGCCACCCCGAGCGCAGGTCCCACAACTCACTGCGGTAAATCAACACACACAAACAAAGGGTTGATGGTGAAAGGGCTCCCAAACGAACTCGAGTGCAAGGTATATATATTTTGTAGCAGCCTTGGCACACGCGTGCATTCTTCTTTTATTATTGTTGCTACCGTTTCTGCCTTTCACCCGGACAATACTTAGCCTCCCCCATGCCGCCCCCTCACGGGGTGCCAGCTAATGACATTTAGGAGTGCTTTGTGTTTTCAACCGCACTGAGACTGATGCCTTTCATTGGTCAGCCGGTTAGCGCGGTCGATGTTAACAATGAAAACACAAACTACGGCCACAGACAAATTTATCTTGAGGAGGGGCGTCATGGCTTCCTGAGGAACGACGACCGGAAGCCAGTTAGAGCCGCCCCACGAAACACCTTACTTACCCATCCACTGGTCCTTCTTGTCCTCGGTGCCATCAATCAAGAAGAACGTGTCTTCGTTGGAAGCTAACTCGATCCCTCGGATGAATCGGTCGTGCCTATTGAGAACATCTCCAGTATCGATGTCCGTCAACCTGGATGAACGTGGGCATGTATGTAGGCTTTTCCAGTGAGTGCGTCCATTTCTCAAAAAAGGCAGTCTGCCTTCGGGACGGGGAGCGCGTTCAGCAGGTGCATTAAACCAAACTGCTGCTATGGTGTATTCTTCTTCCAAGTCATCATGCAGACGAAGACGCGACAGTATTCATTTTACCATGCCAATAAATAATACCTTAGACTAGAGAGGTGAGGTAAACGACCAGCAACGGTTATAGTCTAGAGTGTGATGCATGAGAAGAACGACGCATTGCGTTCTCGCCGCCCGAACGACGAGCCGCCGTGTGAATTTCATAGTCAAGCAGCAATGAAATCTGGAATCTGGCCCTCAAGCGTACATTGGACCGACTAGAGATTGAGAGCGACCGGAAGGAGGTTTCCGTGAACCATGCTGGATAACACCTGTAACCCACTACATGTACACAGAGTTAGACTAACCAAATATCACGACGGATTCGCATGGACAAAGTAAGATCTGCCGTCCTTGTGGCGGTTGACTTAAAAAAGAAGTACAACATCGCGTAGGCGATGCTACAGTAGGTGCGTTTGTCGCGGATGGAGCACGGACCTTGTGCCGACCTCATACAGGACGCCGGACTGTGGACTGTATGCTATTCCCGTGGTTTCAGACTCCTCCGGCTCCTCGAACACAACCTCTGGCACTAGCAGCTGCTCGTCCTCCGCCGACACGTCTTGCAAAGCGCAGGACAGGACCACCGCGGCAGCAATGAGTCCGTTCCTCCACCGCAGCACACACGTCGCTGACGAGGCGGCGCGCCCAATGTCATCACCACTACTGCCGTCCATGGAGAGAGCTGTGGCAGTGGCAGCAGCGGCAGAAGCTTGGGCCATCCGGCATGTGAGTCTATCCTGCTCGTCCACCCACCAACAGTCGAGGTCTTCAGAGAGAAGGTAGGGTATAAAGAGAAAGCTTTGCACTTGGAGCCAGCAGGCGAAAGGGAAGACGGGCGATGTGCACCGTGGTTCTTTGCGGTCGTGCAATAGTCAGCTATTGTGGGCACCATAATTTTAACAGCAAGCAGTTCGCCTACACCTGCACGGTACGTGCGATAACGTTTGTCGATGTATGCTGTTGCGATCGTTACCTATTCTTCCGCGGACCAATCGCGTGTAGAACCCGGCTATTGGCCAATGAAAGAAAAGAACAAAAAAAAAACTTGACCGCGGCTTATTAGGCCTGTCCTCCATCGGCCGTTCTATTTTCGATTTAGATACACAAACTTTATTTCTATACTAATTTCAAGTAATTCCACCTTCTTATTCTCCGTCGTACAAGCAAAACGGCCGATGGAGCTACATGCGGGGGAATCAGATAATGTAGATCAAACTGTTGTACTAACGACACACTGCTGTAGACTAGTAAGCTACATACTACGCAGCATTTTAGACTCCATAGATCGAACGTTTGTCGCGGTGGTGTTGATAGTGCAGCTGCTGCTACTGGCACGCAGGCACATTGTGGTAGGAGTCTATGATGCTCGCGTTCGCTAGGTTGGCGGCGGTGTGCATGACAGTCCGCTCGTTTTTCGTTCGTGTCTCCTCGTGGTGGGGCAGATGCGCTCTCTCGACTAGATGGTGTGTATGTTCTCGCCCGGTTATTCCTGTGGGTGCTTACCTCTAGTCTAGTCTAGACATACCTTTGGTTTACTATTTGGCTCACCAGCCAGCGTTACACAGGTGGAAGGTGGAACGAAAAAGCATGAAAGGACGGTCCGATGTTTTTGTTTGTCCGCCTTTCGGGTGGAACTACAGTAGATGTGCACAGACAGCAAGTCACAGCCAGCTGAAGAGTCATACAGCAGTGTAGATCTAGTCCACACCATGGTATGTATGTAGCAGGTGAACTTTTTCGTCGCGGTTCAACGGAGTCATACCCAATCATGAAAATGGAGTTGTATGAACTCAAGAAGAGATAAATGAACAGATAGCGCTAACTCGTACGACGGTTACAGCCCCATTGCAGTACCTTTGCTGCGAGGGTTTGAGCCAGCCTCGGTGGTGTGCACGCCATTAACTGGATACATGTAGCCTGCATTGATTGGGAAAGAGAGAGTTGCCAGACTGTTGGACACTATGTAGACTACAGCGGTAGATTCGAAGAAAGTGTCCAACCACCGCACACGGCATAAATTTCCAATAGTACGGCAACAACCTTGCCAAAAGTGGCAAGTGCGTTTTTCGCTGTACCCCACACTATCCAAGTCCGCTCAAGCGCTTTCGCGAATGAATGCTACCGAAGTGCAAGCCGGACATCCCGCCTTGATCCACCACCGGAAACAGCCGACCTTTTTCGCAGAGGAACTCGCCAATTCCCTCCGTAGAGAAAAATCGAAAGTTGCCTCACTCAGTAGACTACCCTGTGCGAGGTATGACGCCGAAGGTAAATGTTTTCTCACAGAGGCATACTGTGACCACGGGAATTGACCGCGTCAAGTGTTGGATCAGTACGGGCATATGAAGGTACTGGGTAGAGAGAGATCGGAACGGTTTTTAATGTGAAAACAACAACAACAACAACAACAACAACAACAACAACAACAACACAAAATTTCGATGGCACTTGACGTAGACTTTTCGAGGTTGCGCTGAAAAAAAGTACTGCCGATCCCAGAAGCTAAATCGCGCATACAAATCTAGAGTTGGAGGACGCCTCATCACATAAAGCTGGAATTATCTAGCCAGACTGGAAAATGGCGAACATTATACCGAACAACTTGACCGTAAGGACAGGGAAAAACTGAAAACTTCATACTCCGGAGTAAGCCAATGGTCCGGCTACGCCACCGAGGGAGGAACAAACGGGCAAAAAAGAGGTTCATTAGTGAAGGCGCAAGGTTTTTTTTCGTGTTTGTCTGTAAGCACAGAACAGCTATCTACATAGAAACGACTGCACAAGGGAAACACCCGTCGACGCTTGTGACGCTCGTTCCACCCATCTTAGACAACACACACCCGCAGAAACACGGGTATAATAAAGTATGTGATAACCCATGAGTGGTCGGGGGGCGGGCAGGGATTCATGGTTGCACTCCTGCCAAAAACAAGACGTGCCGCCATGGAGAAGGTTTGCCGCTATAATAGTGTCGATATTCTCATGGCTTTCGAACATGGTAAATAGGCACACGAAAATTAAACGATCGCGCGCTAAACACGCCGCTGCGCCCGGCAGCAACGACAGGTTTGCTCTTGCGTGGGCTTGGTATCGCCACATAGGCTCATCTATAGTCAGCCGCTCTCGGACGGCATCCATTTGATCCAAGACCTTACGGGCAACTTGTTTCACATCACAGGAAAATCGTCGGCCCCTCCAAACCAACCCCTTGTTCAGCCCACAACGCCCCCTCATCTTCCCCTTCGGCACCTCCCAAGAGCTCTTCGTCCTCCCATCCAAGCGCACCCCCCACTTGGATGGCCTCCCTCTCGCTCCCAGCTCCAACCGCCGTCGCGATGCGCTGGATGTCTTCGGGGTCAAGCGCGTCGGCTAGCTCGGCGCCCCGGCGGCCGGCCACCCGATCCTCGTCTGCCTCCGCCGCCCTCCTCGCGGACACACTTCCAGCAGAGTTCACCCGGACCGGCAATGATACCGCCACCGCTGAATTGACGGCTTGTGTTTCGGAGGCGGTCCCAGGATCGGTCCTGCTTGATCCGAAGGGAGGAACGGGTCTCCTGTAGAGGTGAAAGGCGGTCGCGACGTCAGCGGGGGAGATTCCGCCGCCGTGCTTGCGAGCGACGGCCTGCAGCTCGGGTAGAAGCTTGTTCTGGTACAAGGCCCATGGGTCGCCTTTGAGATCGTCGTTGCCGTTGCTTCTCCCCCAAGCGAGAATATCAGACAAAGCCTGGTTTAGTTCGTGAGTTTATTGGGGCGAGGAAGGACGGAGGGGGTGAAGGTGCCGTACCACGAACTTTGCGCTTGCAAGGCAAAACACCAGAAATTGGATCCAGGTTTAGTATCCTTTTTCCATGCGTTTAGGCGAGTGATGAAAGACGAGGCGCGTCGTAAGAAAACCGTATATTAGTCGTTCAACAAACCTGTGCACGAACACGTTTGGGACACATGCTGTTTGCGAAATCCGTTTCTCTGACAATATGCATACTTTGATTGGTTTCCCTCCAGAACGAACTAGCACCAACTGCACTAGGCCGCTTCCTCTAGCCTGCTCATCCCATCGTCGCACGCTGTGCGATGCGGTAGACGGCACACTTTCACTGCACGGTGGAAGAATAAGCATCATCACCTGGAGGAGGGCTCTAGAGTTACTGGTGAGGGCTTCGACAAAGGCTACGTACGCTAACACCGTGCACGTGGCATGTGCGTGTTTCGAGGTGGCTCAGAATACTGTTGTAAAGGACGCACCGAACACGTGGACCGATCGTGAGAAGAGAGGTCCAACAAACCTCGTCACGCGACACGTCAAACGTAGCTAGCTAGGACGAGGGGGTTCGCCTATTCAGCTTTTTCTTGTTGCATGAAACATCGTCGTCGATACTTCGATGGTTCCTCTCCGTTCCATGCCGTGGTAGGGTTGAGTTAACAGCACTATAATAATATAATACGAGACTCCGGTTCAAGCTGGCACTGGGTTGTAGACATGCTGGCCATGCCAACTCGCAAACACGCACCAATCGCCCTTCATATTCACCCTGATTAGCTCTGCTCGCAAACTTACAAGCGTGCACCAGACCCGCCGGGATAATCTCAACAACTGCTCCGGAATGAAAGTCAACCAACACCTCCTGGGCTATTGGCATGCTTAGCTGTGTGTCACGGCAGATTATCCGTGTGATTCACACCCTTCATGGCCGACATCCAAATCCTGGAAAGTTCTTCAACCCAAGAGCCCTCGGTTGTTGGCACGCGTGATTGTCTGCCATGGCAGATTCACACCCTTCCAAGGGCGATATCCAGGAACAAAAGAGAGAAAAACATTACGCAGGGGCGTACTCATAGTCGTGCATGACGTAGTCGTTAGACCATTGACCTCGGACCCCTACAAAAGCCGGGATGGAGCACGCCGGAATTTCACCGGACAATGCAAGCACATCACCAAGCGCGAAGCACCGTGAGGTATTCGGCGAGTCGCACGAAGAGTGCGCTGCATCCTGCTAAGGGTGTTCGGCATTTTGTGCTTACTTCCTTGGGTACGCATGGCAGCTGCGTATGACTCACGAAGTAACTTATTTTCTGGTGCTTTCACTTCTAGAGATGGTCGTAGGCACAGTGTAACTGCCTCGAGGGCGCCTGACCAACTTGACACAACGTGGTGCGATCATCCCCTTTGCGCGTAGTGAGGGTTCTCGACCCCGCACAACAAATGATACTTGACCACCATGATGGTTACCGCAAAAAAAAAATCAGGGCAAAAAAAACAAGCGGAAACCTTGGTTGCCGAGCTCACGAAGTGATCGGCTTGTTTTGCGACATCGTTGCCAAGCGACGAAAACCCAAACCCGACGGCAAACACCAGGGAGCGGTCGCCAAAGAGGACGAAAACAAAAAAAAAAACACCTGTGTGATCCCGACTGATACGTCCAAAATCATTTTAGCAGAGAGGTGTATAGAATGGCGCCAACACAACAGGGACGAACACGTGCACACACACACGGCTTCATGTCTTCAGCCGCACTGAAACGACGGCATTTCACTGGTCAACCGGATAGCGGGATCGATGGAAAAACTAACTACACACACGCGGCCAAAGTCACACAGGAGGAAGACCACACCGGAGTATAGTACTTATTTCTAACACCGCTTTTCATGGGAGATCAACCCGCGATCCTCCGCTCTCACCAAAAAAATAAAAGCCACGAAACGCCAACAAAGGCCGACCACCGCACCTTCACCAACCATCAACATGATATCTCGATTCCCGTCAACTCCACCGCATCCATACCCTTAAAAGCAAAACTCCACCAAACGCATCCAAAGGCTGACCAACACCTTCATTAGCCTATCCATATTGGTCAAGTGCGCTGGAGAGGTCGGGGCATGGGTTCGTATCTCGATGTACTGAGCGTTTTTTTCACTGAGTTTTTTTCTCGCGCTTCCGTTCCTGGTTTGAAAGCGCTACAATGATTAATTCGTGTGTACCGCACACTTTGAGGGACGAGAGTACTGCACTCTTCTCGCGATAGAATTGAAGGCAAGCATCGCGCGATGGATTGAGGAACCCTTCTGTGTGACCACAGACTTGGGCCAGCTCCTGCTGTACCCGGCAGAAATGCTCTAAGCGCTGAGATAAAGTGATGGGACGAGAAAAAACGTTATAGGGATATTGGTCCAGCGGAAAGCAGGTCCAGCACATACATCACAAACATCCGTGCCCATCCTAGCGACAGACAACGGAATGCGCGCTATCATAAAGGATGCTCATAGTCCAACCACAACCACATTGACCGAAAAAAGAAGCTAGAGAAGATCTTCGAGCCAGCGGTACGAACATAGGATGTTCAAGAGCAACGCTTAACGCGAGAAAAGGTGCTCGAGAGGATGAAATGAAGAGAAACAGCAAATCGCAGATGGACGCTATTGGACAGGGTGGCATCTTCACACAGTCTCACCTGTCGAGAGGCCAGAGGCAGCTCTTCCTCATTAGACACAGAGGGGGGGGACCGGTAGAGCCACTCTTCAGCTGCGAACCCCCCGAGCGAGGCGCCTGACGCTATCAAGGCCACGCCTTGCTCCCGACACTGTCGTGCGAGGCCAGTTCTCTCACTGCTGCTGCTGCTGCTGCTGCTGCTGCTGCTGCTGCCGATGTTGCTGCTGCTGCTGCTGCTGCTGCCGATGCTGCTGCTGCTGCTGCCGCTGCTGCTGCCGCTGCTGCTGCCCATTGGGGTCTTGATCAGAGAGGACGCCACCTTCAAAGCACACACACACACGCACACACCCATCGAGGTTCCGGAGATTCAGTCTCTTGATGCCAGGTTTGGGCGAGCCCGCAATGATTGACCGTGTTGCTCGATGCGGTATTAATCCTAGCCCTAACCCTAGCCCTACCGGTTCAACACCGTCCCGACAGCAAACACGTAGGTTTGCATCCACCTGCAGACTAGGTGCGAAGTGGTTGGAGATGAAGCAGTAGCGTTGGGGTGAGTTGTGCCTGCTTAACGTAGGTTGCGCAAGATATCACACCCCCTGGACCGATTTTCGAAGCTTGATATCTCGGCAGGAACAGCAGTGACGGTGCCGAAAATGGCGTTAGGCGTTGGAACCGTCTCGTCGAGTTCTTTCCGAAAATGCAGACTTCCTCCTCGGCACCCTCTTCGTCGTGGAGGAATCGAGCGTTGAAAATCGGCCCAGTGGGTTGATATCTTACATGTGAAACCGACGGTAGAGCGGTCTCGCGCGAGGGCTTCCTGGAAGTATGGCTCAAAGTCCACTTGTTTCGTGCAGGCCGACAGTTATGATTGCGGAAGGTGCTTCGCATGCCGCGCGCACGCACTGTTCGTCGCTCACTACCGCCAACGACGAGAGAAGGATGTTGTCAACGTGAAAGTACTAAAAAAAATATGCACTTCTATGGATTGATACCTGAAGGGCAAGTGTTGTCATTTGTTGTTCTTAAACGATAGACGGAGCTGCTGCTGTTCCCACAAGGACGGATACTCCGATTTTCCTCCTTGACTCAACGGCACTGATGGTGGTGTCTGAGCACCGATACAGCCCTTGTTCTTACAGCACCATCACACAGGCCGCTGCCGTATCTTGCTCGGAAAGAAAACGCGGGTGCACGCGTTTCTCGCTTGAGGTGTTTGGAAACCATGGTGAGCGGTTGAGGCCGAGCCTCGATCGTGCCCGCGGGGGAAATTGATCGACAGAGAGAGACAGAAATGAACGGGTTGTTGTTCTTGCTCTCATACGACAAATGTTTCCACGAGAGCTTGGATAAAAGACACCGCAAGTTGACGTAAGATATCATACACCCTTGGACCAACATAGCTCTGTTGCCCAACAGCAACAACGAGTTGTGGCGTCGAAAATTGGTCGAGTTGGAAACGGCTCGTCGAGCGCTTTCCGAGATCGCTTGTTTTTTCATCCTTTTCGTCGTGGAGAAGTTGAGCTTTGAAAATCGGTGCAAGGGCTATGGTATCTTGTGTCACCTACCGGTAGATCTTGCAGAAACAAGAAAAAAAGACTGCAAGAAGCGATCAGAACCCAAATCATTGCTATTGGACCAAACAGACCGCGGTCGAAACTACGGTATTCGTGTGCTTTCCGTTATCAACCGGTACACGTTAGAGGCAAGCTTACCAAGTTCGAAACCACCGTGAAACCGTTCTTGGCTGCGAGGGCCAACGGTTCCCCCGGGAACCCGCACACGCCAACGTTGGACACCCATTCCAACTCCTCTAGGTAGTAGAGCGCATCCAGGAAGTATCGATCCTCGAAATCACGCCTGTTGGGGTGCGCAGAAAGCAGACAGGCGAAGGGGGAAAAGACGACCTGTTACAACACACGAATCAGCTCGTAGAAGTTTTACCGTTCTTCCTCGCGGTACATCCTGTCAACCATAATTTGTTTTGCCCCTGTTTCGATACACGAATCAGCTTGTAGATAGTATGGCGTTACTCCTAGCGGTTCATCATGTGGCCCTTTTTTTGTGTTTCCCCCTGGTACAGTAAGACACACGAATCAGCTTGCAGCTCCTGGCGGTTCACTCTGTCACTCATTTCTTGTATTTCCCCTGTTTCCCGCTTCACAACCCTTGTTTCGCGCATCACATCTGTACCTTCTTCGTCGCCCCTAACCACTCTTTTGGTCCGCTCTCGGCTACATACCCTCTGTCCCCCTCCTCCATTTGCTGTCTCCCAGCAATCTCTCTCGGATTACTCGGCTGCACGATGCTAAACCCCTACAGCCACCCCTGCCATCCCAGCCAATGACATCAACGAACGGTACACGTCCGTTGTGGCGACAAGATTCGAGGAAGGGCAACAACAACAGCAACAACAACGACAACAGCAGCAGCAGCGACGGCAACGATAACAACGATAACGCCACAATCAACGCCCATTCCAACGTGATAAATAACTTACCAGCACAGCTGCACCAGGTCCAACCGCTCCACCCCCATCCTGCGGAGAGACAACTCCAGCGCCGACTTCACGGTCTTCCTCGTCACCGGCACGCCTCGCCTCAGGCTCAGCGTGTTCAGAAACCTGACCTCTTGTTCGCCGCTAGCCGCCCCGGCAGCCTTGCTCGGAAAGAAAACGAACACGCAAGAGCGAACGGATATTTCGCCGACGGGCCTAGCAGAGGTATGAGTCGAGCCTGGGGCCCAGTGCCGGCATGCGCCCGGTGCTTCGACCGGCGTTGTCGAGAGGGACCGATGGTACTTCATGAATTGGGTATTCAGTCTGTGCCCGCCGAAAACACCGGCATTTTACGGGGCACCGGCGCTATTCACTCGCCACTACTGCTGAGGGCCCCCCGCGGCTGTATTAATGTCGCGGAAAAATTCCCCGTCGACGGGGTACCGCACGACAAGGACTGACGGCATTTCCCGAAAAAGAAAAGCGGCGGAACAGAATCGCGAGTACAGGGCAACTACGCCAACGGCAGCAACAACGACGTAAGCAACAGCAACAGCACGCAGCAACTACCAACAACGGTATGGTGGAGCTAGCCCTAGCTCACTAGTCTACGATGGAGCTCACCTTAACTAACTAAATAACCAAGTTGAGCCATTGTTAGCAAACGGCAGCAACAACAACGCAAAGAACGGCAACAACATGCAGCAGCTCCCCAGCAAAAACTTCCGCACATGGCGGAGCTGTCCCTAGCTGCCTAGTCTAAAGTGGAACTAACCCTAACTGTGGAGGTAAGCAGCTACCATCTACTTGTAAGACAACGACATCTCGCAGGGAGAGATGGGTGCCACCATGAAACCGGAACCCTGCCCAGCCTCACCGACTTGAGGTAGGAACCCGCCCGACTCTCCGCCAGCGCTCTCCCGCCCCCGGCTCCGTTGCCCAGCATGAACGTCGTTAGACCCATTTCCGCCAGTCGATCCATGGAGCGGAGCGCGTCCGTTGGGTCGCCAGAGGTGTCGTCGAGCGGGCCCTGCGTGTCGAAATCGGTTACGGGACGTGTGGAAGAAAGTAGTGTCAGGGTAACGTAGTATTTCTGTGTATACTTTCTAAGAAGTATGAGGACACTAAGAAGGGGGCTCCTCACAGAACAAAAAACCCTCCTCGAATGACGAGGGTTCCACAGGTGGGACGGTGTAGATTACGGGGATTGCGTGCTAGACCGAACCGCTTCCCTCTTTGGGTATTGCCGGTTGTGAAGAATGTACGAATGCAGCAGCCTTGGCGAGGATAATGAGCTTGGTTTTAGTAGGGGCTACGGTGTGGGGTTAGGGTTAGGGATAGGGATACGAAACCCCCCTCTCTATTTCATACATGAACAACGAAAACCTCACAAAGGGCGTAGAACATGCGATGCGACCAACTAGTACAGTATCAATGCATATGCCACGCGATGGAGAGGGAACATGTACAACATGCAGAAAACACCGTGACGTCATCTCAACAGGTGAAAGTACAACACCGACCATGTGGTCAGCAGACACAGAAGCTTTTGGTCGAAGATCAGCTGTTGGTGCATTCTCATTTTGAACCTATCCGCAAGACCTCGCGTTTGAGTTCGGAGCAGCCGGCATTCGGACCCTGCAGTTGTGCCACCTTGGCAGCCTTCTCCGATAGGAATTGAGGCAAGATGGAATGGTTGTAGCGAGTTATGCACCAAGCTGATCTTCATCGTGACGTTTGGCTAACAAGAACCCTTCCTGCTGTCACGTTATTCCAGGTGGGAAACACTTTTCAGCATGTTTTTTGTGGTCGTACCAGTTGAGATATCCGCACCACTTTTTCTCTACATGTGCTGCTGATGATGTCCTGCACTGCTGATGTTCTACAATGTGGATGCTATCGAGATGGATGGCTTCAACGAGCCGACAGGGGCTAGACGCGTCACCCAACCGAGCAAGACACAGGGGAGTTGATCCGCCTCCATGTATTTGGAAGTGTTGCCGTGTATCGTAGATCAACAGCAGAAACAAATAAAATTCAGCAAGTTTTCAAGAGACACTGCGACGTATTCCTGTGAAGGCAGAATATTACAACACACGACATAACGCAGGGTTTCTCCCCGATATTTTTGTCGTTGACCCCGTAGGTAGAGAACACTACGGGAGAGATGTCTTGTGGTAGTTGTACCTGCTGGCATCACTGATCGGAAATTTTCAGTGTATAGGCTTAAATAGACTCCAAATAAGCCCAGTACCCAGCCGGTTTCCCTCGATTCAAAGTGAAGAGTTCAACACATCCCGTTCGACTGTGGTCTTATCTCGAATGGGTAGTCTTTCTGTGTATTAATGTTTCGTAACATGCACACGGTGATCACCACCACGCGGGAGGGCCGATGTTTCTTCTCACCTGACACAAACCATTGATGACCCGGCAAACCTCGAGCCCCTCGCTGCCAAGGCTAACCTTCATCGGGTCCGTCCCACGCTGGCGAGCCTCCTCTTGCTGCTGTGCTTCCCGGAGCACTTCTTCGTTCCTGTCCCTATCCCTCCTCACTATGTCCCCTTTTGTGCCTCGAGGACGCGGCGAAACTTGCAACGCTCCTCCCCGCCGTGGGGTGTTGATGTGTCGGACCGATGATGCAAAGCAGTAGGCGCCTCCAGCGCACGTGCCACTGTGTATTTTGCATCGTCTAGAGGTGAAGTGGCCAGCCGCTGTGCTCCGGTTGTGTGTTGTTGCTCCCCCCGCTGCCGCAGTCACGCCCTGGTGAGCATGTTGATATCCAAGAGCAACGCCTCGCCCTCCACCGCAGCAAAAGATTTGGATCGTGGTGGCCAACAGAAACGCAGCAGCGCTACTGGCACCACGGCCCATTTCTGCTGGAGGTCGTCGTCGCCGACGACTTCCAAGGAAAAAGCATGGGGCGAACAACATCCGCGCTGTATGGTACACGCTGCCAACCTCCTCTCCCGAGAACAAACTGGCTTGCCCCTTGCTGATGCGCGGCGGAAAACAAACCGTTTAGGTTATGCCGCCTGTAATTTCTTAGTCCCACGTCCCACAAGCGTCCGCCAAGAACCCACGTCCCCTGAACGCAAGGTCACGCTTGCTCGCCAGGAACAGGTCTTCAGGAAGTGTGGCACGAAGAATAGAAGCCAGCGAGATCTCCCTGCGTTGGCGGGAGCGTCAACCCTGTGCGGTGGTGTGTTATTCAATGGGGGGCTCACACCGTGCCGACGGACGCTAAATCCCCCCTACGTGTAAATTCAAAGGAGAATATCTGCGGCGACCCCGTTGGCACTTGCTACCTCGCCAAGCAATATGCCAACTGCAAGGCTGAAGGCCTGCAGCAGAGCCGGAGAGCAGGGTGGAGAGAGTGAGCCACAGCAGACGGTATGTGGAAGGCGGCAGGAGATGCGGCAAGGGCGGCCGGGCGCTTCGCCCGGCGCCATCGGCGAGCCATCGTCGTAGGTGGAGTGGTGGGAGCGGCTGCTTGCGTCTACCACAGCATGAAGAGGGCGCTGAGGGAGGTGGGAATGATCTGCTTGCTTGCACCATGCGATGATGGATCGTCACAGGAGGAAGGTAGAGGAGAGATGATGTACAGGGATGATTTTCCAAACAGGGATGATTTTCCGGCTGGATCCTGTCGTGGTGGAGGGCCTATACGTGCTGTCCATAGAGCATCTTCTGCGCATACCATGTTGCTGTCTTGAAACTATGTGCCACAATAGCCGGGAACGCGATTCAAATCTTGCTACAACACGGCCGTCTCACACAGGCGAATCTGTGCTGTATCATCAACTGGCGGCGTGTGTACAAGCCATGCACTGCTCGTTGGACTCTCACACCTCGCAAATCATTTCGGAAGACCTCCCGGCAGTACCATGCGCGTACAAGCAACTCAAACCGCCTTGCACGCCCTCGCACATTTGTGTCGGCTTTAAGTCGGCGTACCGGTCAAAGAAGGTCTTCCCCAAACTCCACCTCGAGCCCACCGCATTCTATATGCCCTGCGGCTATCGTAACGACTAGCAGCCCGTAAGGTTGGGCCCTACTTCACATCTCGCACTATAGTGCAGCCCAGCCATGTTGTCCCCGTTGGCATCCATCCACAGTCAGTGCTAGACCTTCCGTATTAGAAATTTCCAGGGGTAGAACCGTAGGTTGCGTAAGATACCACACCCCTAGGACCGATTTTCAAAGTCCGATGTTGTACTCAAGAACGAAGAGGATGTGACGGATCAAATGATATATATATATTCTGGGAAACCACGACACATAGACGAGAGGGTTCCAACGCCGCCATTTTCGGCATCATCGCCGTTTTTCTTACAGCGTAGCGGAGCTTTGACAATCGGGTGTGCTAACTTACGGACGCAAACTACAGCTACGTGACAGAATGACCACAAGACGTTCGAGAATGTCCCCCAGTCGGAAAGGATGTGTTGGAAGCCTTACAATGAATAATACAGGGCTTGAGCTCCGAACCTCTGAACATCGGATAAGGGAGTGTGGTATCTTGTGCAACCTACGGTATTCGTGAACCACCTGTAAGCACCCGTTCGAGATACAATGATCCCCAGTCAGAAGGGACGTGTTGGAAGCCTTTACGATTAGTGGTACAGTGTTTCTTAGGGAGTCAGAGACGAATCTCACCTTTGATGGATTTTCACGAACAGAGATGGAAAGCAAATGTGTGTTATTTCCCAGCGTTTGCCAAGCAATACAGCAGCAGTACCTCTTGGGGAGTCATCAGAGACAACAACTCTCCTTATTGTCAAACTTCTCGCCCTGTTCAACAGGCCGAGGACGAGCACGCGGCCATGCTGGTTCAGGCGGGACGCGATGCGAGGAGGAGGCAGTGCATGTCCAGGACCCGTGGGGAGTGCGTTGCCGCCCTGGCCAACTTCCTGCCAGCCCTGAGAAAACGCCTCTTTCTTGCTGTTGATGTCACCGGTCCGGTAAGGCTTTGGACGTCACATCGCGCACGCTCGATCACTGTCTTTGTCGACGGAGGGCTTTTGAAGATCGCATCTGTTGGCTTGTGACCATAGAAGGTGTCCGCGTCGGTTGGACCAGTACGGACATTAGAAGGTACCAGTACGGGCATTAGAAGGTACTGAGTGGGAGACCGGAACGGTTTTTAATGTGAAGACAACAACAACGACAATCGTGCATGCTCACTCACTGTCTTTGGGGACGGCGGTGACTTGTCGCCATGTGGTTGTAGCCGTTTGGAGTAGTTGTGACGACTGAAGGCGCGCGAGTTGGTTGGAACGTGCCGTGCAGAGATCGGAACAGTGTTTCATGTGAAAACGATGGCCACAACAACAACAACCAATCAAATTTTATCCGATTTTTTTCGGTTGGCACGCCGACAATAGCAGTAGCCGAAAGAGGGGCTGTGGAAGGGGAGACCCCTCTCCACCACGGACACCCTCTCAGCGATGCCGTAAGATCGCAATTTCGCAGGTAGGGTCGGCCCCAGGGCGTTCTCCTACAGCTTTCCGGCTTAACTAGATGGAATCTATCTTCCTGTGTTTTTTTTTTTTTTTCACTTCCGGCGAATGCTGCCTGCTGTGTACAACAAACAGGTCCGAGAGCTGAAAGCTCTCAGGACTGGGATGACGGGAGCTACTGCAGCGGCGGCAGCGGCGGCGGATACGAAGGATGGAGGGGCAGGGGGCGGCAACGGTAGCAGCAGCAGCGGCAGCGGGGGGGGCGGGAGCGCGGTCGCCGACGGTTCGGCGGCGGCAGAGGCGGAAGATCTACAGTCTCGTGAGGTGGAGCTGTGGGAGCAGGTGAGACTTGGTAATTTTCGTTGATTTTTTTTTGCTAATGCTTTGGTTGTTGTTGTTGTTGTTGCTGCTGTCGTCCCAACTTTCAACATTGTATTTGTTCCGGTCGCGAACCAGTAGCTTCCAATGCAATACGTTTTTTTCGTAGGACGGTATGGTTTACCGTACGCTATACAGTTTGCCGGGCTTAGGCATGCGATTTATTGCGGAGCACACCGTGGACGATGGCCGGCTTTCCAGACGGCATGGTTTGCTGGGCGCTATACGGTTTTCCGGGTGTGGGTTGAACGTATGCGGTTGCTGTGAGTTTGAGCACACCGTGGATGATGATCGTTTGCTGACGGTATGATTTTCCGGTCTCTAGGCGGTTCGTCTCTATTTTTGAGTAGCATTTGAGCGGCTCCGAGTGCGAAGACCGGGTCCATGTAGTTGCGGAATGTCCTGTATACAAGGAGGAGAGGGAAGTGTACATGAGACACGTAAAAGGAAGGTACAGGGATATGTTTTGAGGCATGGAATAGCCAGGAGAAGATGGTAGCTGTACTGGGGCACAGGAGGTGGGTTGAAAAGGTGGTAGGTGACATCGATAGGATAGAAATAGCTAGGGAAGAACATTTTTGAGCCACCTTTGTCAAAGCAGGAAGGAACGGTTGGCCGTCGGTGCTCGGTCCTGTGGTGACAATGCTCCGTCCTCTCGAGGACGCGTGGTCAATGGTCTAGCCGCTATGGCATGCCAAACATAAGAGTGCCCCTCCGCCCCCCGTTGAACAGCGTACCCCCAACCGTCCTGTCCCGTCCCGTGAATTCTTTCAGGTGAAAGTGACGGCGTTAACTCGACTGGTGGTGTCCCTGTACGCGTTCAACGCCCTCGCGCTCATGCTGCACATGCAGCTGCACATTCTCGGTGAGCGACGTCTTTTTCTACAGGGGGGGGGGGGGGGGGGG